ACTCCATTTCATTTAGTTCTTTTCCTGGAGTTTTGTTCTGTTCTTTCATTTGGGACATGTTTCTTTGTCTCCTCATTTTGGCTGCCTCCCTGTGTTTGTTTCTATGTATTAAGTAGAGTTGCTATGTCTCCTAGGCTTGTGTAGTAGGTGTCCTGTAGAATCCAGTGGCACAGCCTCCCTGATCACCCCAACTGAGCACTTGAGGTGTATCCCTCATGTGGACTGTATACCCTTCTATTGTAATTGAGTCTTAATTGCTGTCGGCACATTAATAGGAGAGATTTACTCAGGCTGATCAGCTGCAAGGACTGATCGTGCCCACCACACAGAGCAAGACTTACTGCAGCAGGGCTCTGGGACCCACTGAGTCCACTCCTTGAGTGTGTCACTTGTGGAGGTGGTTGGGTGGTGGTGTTTTGATGTGGTCTGAAGCTGTCCACTGGGTGTTCTGGCTCTGGGACAAGGTCAGCCTGTGACTATGTTCTATCTGGGACCACCAGGTATGAGCTACAAAGTGATCTGCAGATGGCTGCTTCTTGTGCTGGGCTTGGAGGTGCCCAGGTAAAGCCAAGCTGTGAACCAAGGCTGGCTGCTCCTAGTGCCCGACCCGGGGCCACTTAGCGAGAGGTATGGGGCTCGCTGAGGCCAGATGCTGCTTGTTTGAGAGAATTTAGAAAAATATGAAGCAGGACCCAAGACAGGCCAATCCTATGGTAAAGCCATGGAAACAGCTTGGGTGAGCCCGAAAGTTGGGTGGGGCGGGGCTTCAGGGAATCACCAGGGCGGGGCTACCAGTGTGAGCCAGGTTGCTGGAGGCCCAGATATGGAACCGGGCTGGCTGCCCTGTGGGGGAAGGGCTCACCAAAGGAACAAAGGCCTCTGACAGCCCGTCTGTCCAGGAGGAAGCTGCCTCTCCAGCTCTCGCCCCGATGGCAAACGACTCAGTTCTTCCCCGTGTGTCTCTGGCGCCTTTCAACCAGCCTCCCCCAAGCCGGAGCCAGTCTCCACGTGGCTCTTCTTTAATTCCCTGGTCGTAGGACTCCATCCAGCTCGATGTCAGGCGGTTCTGGGGGACGGCTGTTCTGTAGCTCAGTCGTCACTGTGATGTGGTTGTGGGAGCAGGTGATACCCCGGTTACCTACCCTGCCATCTTGACCGGAAGTCAGTGACAATCAGGACTTTTCCCTAGAAAACTTTAGAAACTTTTTTTCCTGTTAGTCTCTAGAATTCCTCCTCTTTTTCGGCCATGTACCTAGACACTAACTAACTATAACTTAGGCCTCACAGAGATGCCTCCAGTTTTGTTCTTTTACGATTTTTACAGACATGTTGTTTGTTTTGATGAAGCTGGTACAGACAATGTCCGTTCAGAACCTCCCAGACCAAACAGAACAAATAAAATTAAGAAGAGCAGTGTCCCATTGTAGTCACTCCTGCACGAATAACTACTAACCGTCAAGGAAAATTACAACTTTTCTGGGATCTTCTGACAAGAGTCTAAAAAATTTATTTTATTTTTAAAAAATCCTCACCCAAGGATATTTTTCCATTCGTCTTAAGCTGTAGTGTGAGGGGCAGAAAGAGAGAGACATCGATGCAGGAGAAACGCATCGATCGATTGGCTGCCTCCTGCACGACCCCGACCAGGGCCGGGGACTGAACCGCAGCCAAGGTATGTGCCCTTGACTGGAATCGAACCTGCGACTCTTTGGACTGCAGCAACCGCACGGTGAAACTTCAGGGCCAATGAGAAGTCATGATGAATGCGTCCATTGGCCGACCTTATTTATCACCAGCCTGAAAACACACAGTCCTGGACATGGGGGCCTCCCTGGGCACACGTGTAACGTTGCAAAAGGAGAGGGCGATACGAGGGCCTGAGGTTTATCACCAAAAATCCGCACAACGAAAACACACAATGTGAATGACGGGCACTAAAATTCAAAAGACCAGATTTTTTAAAGAGATGAGGCGGGTGGGGGGTTGCCAGTTTTCACGTCCCTTTTGAACACCACGTTACAAAAGAACTATTTTTAAAAATAAAAAAAAACGCTTGCGGGAAAACAAAATAAAATAAAAAGAATATTAAAACTGTTGAATGACCCCCTGTTTGTTCCAGGTAAATTTCAGTCACCTCTTCCTCCATTCCCAGTTCTTTTTTTAAAAAAAATTTGTTTTCTTTATTGATTTTAGACAGAGAGGAAGGGAGAGGGAGAGAGAGAGAGAAACATCGATGAGAGAGAACATCGATGGGCCGCCTCCTGCGTGCTCCCCACTGGGGATCAGGCCCACAACCTGGGCATGTGCCCTGACCAGGAATCGAACCAGCGACCTCAGGGAGCACAGGTCGACACTAACCACTGAGCCACACCAGCCAGGCATCCCAGTTCTTTTGGAGTGTGGTTATCAGCAACTCTCTGACCTCCAAAGAGAAATAGGAGCGAAGTCACTGGAACTCCCTGTCTTGGACACTATGGTTCTTTGAGATTCCGAAGACGTGTTGTCCTGTTCACTTTGAAGTGAACTCACTGCTCTCCTGTCCAGTGACTCTGAGTTTAATGTATTCTCCTTCCTTCTTCCCCACCCAAGCCCTCCGTTGAAGGTTTTGCCTCGTGGTCAGACATGGTGCTGGTGGCTTCACCGGGGCCCCCCGCACAGCAGCGGCCTCCGGTAGGGAGAACCTCTCTGTGCCTCCAGCTTCGACCGCAGTCTGGCTGACTGGCATCCTGGGGACTCTTAGGAGAAAGCGTCCTTTTCACGGAGCGTTGTCTCTACTCAGTCCAGCCCTTGGCCCCCTCCCTCCCCACCCAGGGAGGGAAACCGGTGACTAAGGCCACTCTGGCTAACTGGAAGGAATTGGGCGTTGCTGGGCACAAAGCCAGGAGCTCGAACTCTCTGAAGCTTGGGCCAGGGCAGCTGCTGAACCTCCCAGCAGGGCTGGACCGGCGGCTGGCTACCTGGGGAGAGCCTTCTGCTCCTGACAACGGGCAGTGTTCAGCCCTGCTTGCCCTGGGCCCTCCCCCGCTGCTTTGCCTGGATCTCTGAGCCTCTTGGTAACTCGACCTGGCAGCACACCGCTCTGTGCGGCGGACTTCCAAGCAGGCTCTGCCCCTCTCCTTCAGAGCTGTGTGTCCCCAGCCTTGGAAGCCAACAAGAGGATCACGTTTCCTTAGCTCCTTCCTTCCAGGCTCCCGGAACTGAACTTTTCAGACCTATATCCAGTCGCTATTTTAAACGTTCCCCACGCATTCCACTTTTAGGCTGATCTCAGACCTGAAGCCGCCAAAGGAGCCAGGCACTGTTTTCGGAAACACACGCAACATACCTTCGCGCCGGGACACTGCGGAGCCTTCGTCCGGGGCAGCCCTGGCTTCGTCCTGACAACCGATTTTTGTTCTACTTTACCCCCCCCCCCCCCCGTGACCGTGCTCTCTTTCTCCCACTGTGATTTCTTTTGCTCGTCTTTGTCTTCACTTCTGTTATCTTCCTATCTCGGAAGATTTTCTCTTTTCTTCCCGATGTTTGAGTTTTTCCGGTCAGGCTGCCTCTTCCTCCCTCTCCTGGCAAGCTCTCTGTTTCAGGATTTCACTTGCAGAATTTTAGGAATCACTAAAGAACTTCTAGATTGTGGATGGGGATAAAGGGCAGTTCGTTTCTGCTCAGGGTTAGGCTCCTGGGCAAGCCCAGGACTTGACTGCAGGTGTAACCTTTATCCCCCTTGCTCCTGACTCCGGGGCCTGCATTAACCATTTGCCCACAGCCCTTCTGAAGAGGGAGGCAGCTTTTCTCTTCAAAATGCCTCCGCCCTGGACTTCTCAGGCACACTGCCGCCTAAACATGGCTGGAGAACTTGGAGGCGCAGGACAGTTACGACTCAGGAAACCTTTTCCTTGAGAGTCCTCGGCATTGATGGTTCACATGAGCTTTTTTGTTTTGTTCTATTTTTTTTTTTTTTTGGTAAAAAGAACACTACAGCCCTGACCGGTTTGGCTCAGCAGTTAGAGTGTCCGCCCTCGAACCAAAGGGTCACAGATTTGAATCCCAGCCAAGGGCACATACCTGGGTTGCAGGTTTGATTTCCAGCCCTGGTCAGGGTTGTGCGGGAGGCAACTAATCAATGTGTCTCTTTCACATCGATATGCCTCTCTCTCTCTTTCTCCCCCTCCTCCTTCCACTCTCTCTAACAACAACAACAACAACAACAAAAATTAATGGAAAAAGCACTGCGTTTAAGAGACAGAACAGTTCCAGATTTGCTACCTATGGGCTGTGCATCCTTTGGCAAAACACTTCCTCTGTTCTTGGAGTCCTGGCTGGTACACGGGAGAGCAGCTGCCTGGGGCATGGTGGAGAGGACAGTCCAAGCAGGAAAGCAGAGTGTATCGAGGTGTTAGGGCGAATGAGCCGGGTGACATCCCGTTTTCCCTTAAATCATTCCGAGTTGGAGGTCCTTAAACAGTAAGACCTGTGTTCCTCAGCTTATTGTAGGTGGGTCTCAGGGAAAGCTACAGGCTGGGAAGGGTTCAGAAACCCTCGTGGTAATATGTGGCTGAAACTGAGGGTGCAGACTGTCGGACGGTTGGTCCGCAGGGGTGCCGAGGAGTTCTGAGGAATTCGGGCGTGGGAATCTACCTGAAAGCTCCCGCAGCCCGGGGAGGTGCTGGGGAAGTTGAATCACGGCAAGTCAGTTTCAACCTTCGCGGACAAGCCTAGAGCCTGTTTTCAAAAAGCGTGTGCAGGGGCCAACCCCAGAGCAGCCTGGGACGGTTCAGACGGGCACTGAGGCCAGCCAGAGGTCAGAGCCAGATGAACTGCAAAGCTGAGGGAGGGCTGTGGAGTTTGGGACTTTGTGCGGGCATGCTCACAGTGCAGAGGGCGGGAGGGAGGGAGGAAGGGAAGGAGGGAAGGAGGGAAGGAGGGCGTTGGGAGCAGAGGCCCCACCTTTATTCCGCGGTGTGCACCGCCGAGCAGGGATGAGTCACAGGCACAGGCGCTAGCCGCCCACAGGTGAGGGACTGCCTCCTCTCTGGGAACACGCAGGTGCTGAGCCCCGGCAGTGGCCTGGCAGGGTGCTGGAGGTCTCCGTCTGCCCGGTCTGGTCTCTGGGGCAGGGCTGGGTCTCCCTCATGTATGGCAAGAGCCTTCCGCGTGCGGTGCTGCTCATCCTCGGGGTACAGCTCACAGGTAAGCGCCGGTGGGCTTCCCTGGGCTCCCCCCTCCCCCCCCCAGGAGGCAGCAAGAATTCCTTCTCTGAGCTCGGCCAGGCGGCGGTCCGCGTTAGCTTTGACTTGACTGAAACCAAAGCCGGCGGGTCATTTTGGAGGAACTGCTTTTGGTCAGACAGGTTTGGTTGTGTTTCGGCCGCCAGTTTCTCCGGCACAGAGAGGGCTTTCAGATCTCAGGTTACGGTCCCCTTTCTCTGGCCACTGCCGCTGTGCCTCTGCAGGCGGGGCTTGCTGCCCGGTTCTCGCGTGGGTCCAGCTCTGTGTGTGCTCCGGTCCCGACCCTCCCGCGCTGGGAAAGCCAAGCTGTTCCGGACAGCCACCCACTGGCTTAGGCACTGCCCCAACGCGGCCGTTCTCATCGTGAATATGGTAAAAAAAAAAAAAAAAATATGCCACGTGGGGTGAGCTGCAGGGGCGCAGGCAAACAAACATTGTCGTGTTGATGAATTTACTTTCTGCGGAAGACCAAGAACAGTGCAAAACCACCCAAGGAGGACCATTCAGGAAAACGCACCTGCTGAAGGACCATTATACACACAACACAGAATGCTTAACTGGAACACTTCTCATTCGTGTTCTCCTTCGTTTAGCTGCTTTTGTTTCTGTTTTCATTCTTATTTGCCCATGTTCATAGTTTCTTGTAACAGTTAAAAAAAATATCTTTTCTCCTTTATTGATGTTAGAGAGGAAGGGAGAGGCAGAGAGAGATAGAAACATCCATGAGAGAGAACTTCGACTGGCCGCCTCCTGCACGCCCCCCACTGGGATCGGGCCCACAACCTGGGCATGTGCCCTGACCGGGAATCGAACCTGCGACCTCTTGGTGCAGGGCCGATGCTCAAACACTGAGCCGCACCGGCCGGGCTCTTACACGGTTTTGAAGTGGGTACCGTGAGGCTAGGGTATCCGCTGCGGGGAAAGTGAAAGCGGTAACAAGGCTCCCCGTGGGCTGTTTTCCATTGTTCCATAGACTGGGAGGCGCAAGGGTGCGGATGGGTAGGCGGATGCGGATCTGGGGGAGCAGGTTTGGGAGCTGGGTCTTTTCGGTCCTGCAGTGCGCCCTGCTCGGACCCTCACTCTCCCCCTTCCTCCGCTCCTTTCCGCAGCTCTCTGGCCCGCAGCAGCTGTGGAAATCTACACCTCCCGCGTGCTGGAGGCCGTGAACGGGACAGACGTTCGCTTAAAATGCACTTTTTCCAGCTTCGCCCCTGTGGGTGATGCTCTGACCGTGACCTGGAATTTCCGTCCCCAAGATGGGGGGTCTGAGCAGTTTGTAAGTAGATTATTGTCCTTTTCTAGGGGATCCTTGGTTGGGAAAAGAAGCCAGTCTGTTTCTCTTTGCCCTTCCTGTGTTGTTGTTTTTTTTAAATTTTTTTTTTAGCAGCGGGCACAGGGTCAAGCTGGGAGGCAGTTCCTGGGACAGCAGCGGACAGCACAGAGAGGCGGCCGAGGGAGGGCGGGGGGCTCCCGCAGGAGAGCTGCGGACGGGGCTGGGCGCGCCGGTGTCTGCCTCTGCGGCCACCCTCTCGGCCTCCGTGCCCAGGCGCCGGACACCGTTTCTCCTTTCCAGGTGTTCTACTACCACATGGACCCTTTCAAACCCTTGACTGGACGGTTCAAGGACCGGGTGGTCTGGGACGGGAACCCGGAGCGGTACGACGCCTCCATCATCCTCTGGAAGCTGCAGTTCGACGACAATGGCACGTACACCTGCCAGGTGAAGAACCCGCCTGACGTGGACGGGCTGATCGGCGAGATCCGGCTCAGCGTGGTGCAGACCGGTAGGTTCCGGGAGGTTCGGGAGGCCAGACCGCCGTGGAGGAGGGCCGGGCAGTCCCTGGTGCCGCCGAGCGCAGAGAGGGCTCGCCCCTCACATCTGGAGACTGCGGAGGGAGAGGGAAGGCTCCGGGGTGAAGGGCGAGGCTCTGCTTGGCCTTGGAAAGAAAGAGAAAGAAGCCAAGGCGCCCGGGGACTCTGTTCCGAAAAGGGCACTGAGGTTGTGAGAGGGAGAGGGACCGAGTCCCTGACAGGAGGGCAGAGGTCTGCTCACTCAGTCCCGTCCTTCCAAGACTTCACTGAGCCCCTGCTCTGTCAGCGACCTGAAGGCTGGACATTCCTGTCTCCCTTGCTCCTAAAACCACGCACGGGCAGGTGCCACTCACGGTGGTTCTGTTGGTTGAGTTGTGCAAGGGGCTTTGCCTACCTTATGCACCCTTTGCAGACCGCACCCGTGTATCGCGCCGTCAGCCCCCCTCCCGTTTTACTGACGAGGAAACTGAGGCTCACAGGGGTCACGTCGCTTGCCCAGAGCCATGTAGCCGATGCGTGGAGCACCCTGGGCTCCAGAGGAATAACCGTCTTCTGTGAGGGGACAGCCTGCAGAGCTGCCAGGTGACACAGAGCAAAAGCCACGGCGCTTCCGAGCTGTACGTTTGGGTCCGTAAATGCTGCCGTTTACCAGCTGTGAATACACCCCCCACCCCCACCCCTCGGGCAGACTGCCAATAACCTAGCAAGGATTAGGGCGAGGATACAATGAGATCGTCAGAGTAAGAATTCCCCAAGCTCGGAATTGTACGGCAAGTTGTCACAGTGACCACGTAGGGAGTCTATAATAGGGGGCGGCACAGCATGGGACAATTTAAATGAATAATTTGTTTATAAGAACTCAAGAAATGGATCTTGTTATCTCTGTTTTATACACGGAGAGAACCGATGCTCAAAGAAGTCAGTTACCCCAAATCACGCAGCGAGTAAAGGGTGGAGCAGGTATCTTAACCTAGCTTTCTCTGGCGTATGCCCTCAGTCCACACGCAGTATTATCGCCCGTAAAGTGGTGTGATCTCTTCCATCCGTTCCTGGTACCGTCCTTCAAGGCCCTGTCAGGAGAGCTGTGTGACCTTGGTGCAGTCGTCCGAGTGCTGAGGGAGGAATATCCTATCTTTGGACCCCAGCTTCTTCACCTGCAAAATGAACAGATTAGACAAGACGCATGTTCTCAAGACACACCGGGGTGGCTGCTCTTTGCGATCTGAGGAAAGCCACGCCCTGCTTCCCGCAGCCAATCGACGCGCGCACACACAGACGTGGATTTCGTGGGCTGAGGGCTCCTCTCGCTCCTTTGTGGACTCCTGGCTGGGAACCCCTGAGCTGGACATTTCTCACGTCTTCTCTGGTTCTGAGGGTTTACATCAGAAATCAAGCTAAAAGACAGGAGGCCCAGGCTTCACAGACCCCAGCCTGGTTTGGGGACCCTTGCCCTCCGGGTTCCTTTGTGCATCCTTTACCCACTAGACTACACGGCCCTGCCACATCCTGGCGTTTGGTCAGCGAGGGACCACCTGTGCAGTGGCGGACTTGTAAAGTTACACCGGGGCTGAAAAGTCCTGGCACCCGGTGAGGACGCAGCCAGCATCACCCGTGGCACGGAGGCTGCAGGGTGCGTTCCAGCGGGCGGGCGGCGCTCACGGTGGGGGGCGCCCTGCGGAGCTCCTGGGCGTGGCCGCTGAGGACCGGACTGAGGGTTATTGGGCCTGGACAGCAACGCCTGGCAACCACAGGATGAGAACAAGAACCCTCCCGGGAATTCACAGTGAAGGTTTAGCAGAAGCTTTTGCAGACCTCAATAAGCTCCTTAAAAAGTGGTGTTTCCGCCCTGGCCGGTTTGGCTCAGTGGTTGCAGCGTTGGCCTGTGTTCCAGAGAGACCTGGGTTCAGTTCCTGCTAAGGACACGTACCTCGGTTGCAGTTTGTTCCCGGCCCTGGTTGGGTCGTGCGGGTGGCAGCCACTTGATGTGTCCCTCTCATGTCGATGTTTCTCTCTCTCTCTCTTCCTCTCGCTCCCTCCCACTCTACCTGAACAAAAAATGGAAAAATGTCCTCGGGTGAGGATAAAAAAAAAAAAAAAAGTGGTGTTTTCTCAAAAAATTAAAAATGGAACTGCCATTTGACCCAGTGATCCCACTTCTAGGAATATATCCTAAGAAGCCTGAAACACCAATGAGAAAGAATATATGCCCCCCTGAATATATTCCCCCCTGTGTTCATAGCAGCACTGTTTACAATAGCTAAGATGTGGAAACAGCCCAAGTGTCCATCAGTAGACAAATGGATAAAAAAGCTGTGGCACATCTACACAATGGAGTACTACGCAGCTGTAAGAAAGAAAGATCTCTTATCCTTTGAGACGACATGGAGGGACCTGGAGAGTATTGTGCTAAGTGAAATAAGCCAAGCAGAGAAAGACAAATACCACATGATCTCGCTTATTTGTGGAATATAACAAACAAAACAAGCTGATGAACAAAACAAACCCAGAGACATAGAAAGGAGTATGGTTCAGACTGACAAACCTCAGAGGAGAGGGGCGGAGTTGGGGGGATGAGATAAACCAAAGAACTTACATGCATGTATGCTTAACCAATGGGCATAGACAACAATGCTTGGCGGGGGGTGGGGGGGGATAGGGAGGAGAGTATCTGTGGGGGGGAACATCTGTAACAAGAATAAATTCATAATAATTTTTTAAAAGAAGAAGCAGAAAAACAACGACGATAATAAAAAAGAAAAGAAAAACGTGGCCCTGCTGGTGTGGCTCAGTTGCTTGGGCATCGTTCTGAGCATCAAAGGGTTGCTGGTGTGATTCCCGGTCAGGGCAGGTGCCCAGGTTCAGGCTCGATCCTGGCCCTGGTGCAGGGCATACAGGGGGGATAATTCTCCCCCTTCCCCGTCTCTAAAAATCAGTAAACTGTTCTTTGAAAACAAAATTGGAAAACATGGACCCAACACGGAAAGGCTTTCATTAACAGAGAGGACTGTTCATGGTTACAAGCAAATCTGGATGAGAAAAAATGAACCCACCCACCCACCCAGCAAACCGCATGGACGTGCGTCTGGAGAGTGGCCCCTGCGCAGGAAGAGCCTCAGGGGGTCCTCCAGGAGGTGCTGCCGAGGGGTTGTCATAGGAGCAGCCTCCACGGGGTTATTGCCCGAAGACCGTCCGTGGGACAGGGGTGGAGGTGGGAGACGGTGACATTGATGATTCTGACCCTGTGAGGGCCTAGGCTAATGTGTGTGTCTCAGTTGTTAACAAAAATGTTTAAATAGTAGGAAAATAAAAAATGAAAAATAAATCAAAATAGTAAAAGCCTGATAGAAGAAGGATATAAAGAAAATATTTTTGTACAGCTGCGCAGTGTGTTGTTGTTTTAAGCTAAGTGTTATTAAACAAGTTGAAAGTTAACACGTTTTAGTGTATAAAGTAGAAAAGTTAGAGCGAGCTCAGGTTAACGTATGACTGCAGAAAAAGATTAAAGATACACTGAGTGTCGCCTGTGTGCAGTGTCCACCCAGTCCGGCCGTGCTCGGGGCCTGGGGCCTCCACTCACCGCTCATTCACTGACTCACCAGAGCGGCTCCCCGCGCTGGGGGCTCCATCCGGGTAAGCGCCCGTCCAGGTGTGGCATTGCTCACCTTTTACGCCATTAAAAAAATTATTTTTTCTTTATTGATTTTGGAGAGAGAGGAAGGGAGAGGAAGAGAGAGAGAGAAACATTGATAAGAGAGAACATTAATTGGCCACCTCCTGCAACCCCTCCACCCCGGGGATCAGGCCCACAACCTGGGCATGTGCTTTGACCAGGAATCGAACTGGCGACCTCTTGGTGCAGGGGGTTGACCCTCAACCACTGAGCCACACCGGCCGGGCTTGTATCATATTTTTATTGTACCTTTTCTATGTTTAGATATGTTTAGACACGCAAATACTTGCCACTGTGTTACAACTGCCTACAGGATTCAGTCGTACTGAAGCAGTAGGCTAGACCATTCAGCTCGGGTATACAGTAGGCGCGACGATCCAGGCTTGTGTAAGTGCACTCTGTGATGTTTGCACAATGGCAAATTTGCCTAACGGTGCATTTCTAAGAAGGTGTCCCTATTGTGAAGGACGCATACCTGTGCTTACTGATGTACTCGTGTGTCTTCCCAGTGGGCATGGGTTCCCGGAAGTGCCCGCCCCCTGGTAGGCCCTTCTTGCATTTGAATAAATGACTGACTGAATGACAGAGGGAAACGAGTCTGGGCCCGGGATGTGATTAGGTCGTCAGTAAACTGACTCAACCGGCCCGTGGCTCTCACAATTTCAGATTGCGTCAGACCCACCCAGAGGACCTGTTAAAACACATCGCCGGGCCCCACCTGTAATTCAGCAGGTCTGGGTGGGGCCTGAGCACTTGTGATCCAAAGTGCTGTTGCTGCTACTCCTAGGACGCAGTCTGGAGGGCTTCCCTACTGCTCCTGGAGTTTACAAGGTGACATGGTAGGAGAAAGTATATCCCTAGCGTATGTCTAGACTTCATCAGAACCCCCCTCCTTTATGGAATCCTAACCTGACCTTTTTTTCTCCTTACAGTGCGCTTCTCTGAGATCTACTTCCTGGCTCTGATCATTGGCTCGGCCTGTGCGCTGATGGTCATAGTGGTCATTGTGGTGGTCCTCTTCCAGCATCTCCGGAAGAGGCGATGGGCTGAAAGGGCTCACAAAGTGGTGGAGATCCAATCGTAAGGCGGGGCGGTTCCGGGCACTCTCCTAATGCTCTTCTGTGGGGACACTGGTACTTTACAGTGAGGCTAGGTAACTGCCGGACAGTATTCTTCCCTCTGAGTACATCTTACCGAAGAGCATTCAGATTCACCGTATGAACAGATCAGGCTGTGACTTGGTAACTTGACAAAAGGATTCTTAATTTTACAGATTTCATTCTACGTTTCCTTTATTACGGAGGAGTTGATAGTATTAAAATCTGTTACGTCAGGTCGGGATGAGGTTTATTGGATGATCACTCAGTGTGTTATATAATGTCTAATCACTGTGGTGTACACCTGAAACTAACAGAATATTATATAAAAAATTGAAGTCTGTTATATAAAGCCTTTTTAGAATACTCCTAACTTTTTTTTTTTTTTTTTAATCCTAAACCAGGGACATTTTTGCATGTATCTTCAGATAAACCGGAAGGGAGAGAGGGAGGAAGAGAGAGAGAGAAACATTGATGTGAGAGAGACACATCAACTGGTTGCCACCCACATGACCCCAACCAGGGGAGGGGACAAACTGCAACCGAGGTATGTGCCCTTAGCGGGAATCGAACCTGGGTCTCTCTGGACAGCAAGCCAATGCTCTAACCACTGAGCAATGCTCTAACTACTGAGCAAAACCGGCCAGGGCTTTTTAAATATGTTTTTTGTTGATTTTTTTTAGAGAGAGAGAGGAAAGGAGAGAGAGAGAGAAACATTGATGTGAGGGAGAAACATCAACTGGCTGCCTCCTGAACGCCCCTACTGGGGATCAAGCCTGCAACCCAGGCATGTGCCCTGACCGGGAATAGACCTAGGACCTGTCAGTCCGTGGGACAATGGTCAATCCACGGAGCCACACTGGCTGGGTGGGACTACTCCTTACTTTTAATGTAAAGCATGCGTTTCTAAGAACCACTGGGCAGTCAGCGAGGATACTATGAATCAGTACCTAGGAAAGTCAGCCATGCTGATAAGGTGCTCAATAAATATTATTTTAGTGAGATAAAATTTACATACTATAAAATTTGCCCTTTTAATATTTCACAATCACCACTAATTACAAAATATATTCATCACCCCCAAAAGAAACTCCCTATTTTCCCCTCCCCCCTACCCCTGACAACTACTAATCTGCTTTCTGTCTCATATATGAACTGTTCTGGGCAGTCTGTATAAATAGAATCACACAATATGTGGCCTTTTTGTCTGGCTTCTCTGACTTAGTATAATGTTTTCAAAGTTCATTCATGTTATAGCCTGTAGTAGTAATTCATTCCTTTTTTACGGCTGCATAATATTCCACTGCACTGTTGTTTATCTATTTAACTGATGGACATTTAGGTTTTCCCCACTTTTTGGCCATGATGACTAATGCTGTTATGAATACTTAAGTTTTTTTTGTGTGTGTAGACATGTTTTCAATTCTCCTAGGAGTGAAATTGCTGAAACATGGTAAACCCGTGTTTACCTTTTTCAGATATTGCCAGACTGTTTTCCAAAACAGCTGCACCATGTCCCATCCCCATCAGCAATGTATGAGGGTTCCAATTTGTCCACATCACTGACAACACTTATTACTGTCTGTCCTTTTGATTATAGCCATAGTGGATATGAAGTGACTTCTCACTCACTGAGGTGTAATTTAAAATTTTTATTTATTGATTTGAGAAAGAGAGAGAGGAAAGGAGAGAGAGATAGAGAGGGAGAGATCAACTTGTTTTTCCACTTATTTATGAACTCATTGGTTGCTCCTTGTATGTGCCCTGACTGGGGATGGAACCTGTAACCTTGGGGTGTCGGGAAGACACTTTAACCAACTGAGCTACCTGGCCAGGGCTCACTGAAGTTTTGATTTGTATTTTCCTAATGAACAATGATGTGGAGCATCTTTCCATGTGTTTATTGGCCATTTGCATATCTTTTTGGAGATATATCTATTCAAATGTTTCACCTATTTAAAAATTGGGTTGTCGCCTAGCCAGTGTGGCTCAGTGGATTGAGCATTGTCCCATGGACTGAGATGTCCGGGTTTGATTCCCGGTTGGGGCATGTGCCCAGGTTGCAGACTTGATCCCCAGTGGGGGGGTGTATGGATTGATGTTTCTCTCTCTCTCTCAAAAATAAATTTTAAAAGCAAATTATTATTATTTTTAATCCTCACCCAAGGATATTTTTCCATTTATCTTCAGACAGAGTGGGAGGGAGGGAGGGAGGAAGAGAGAGGGAGAGAGAGAGAGAGAGAGAGAGAGAGAGAGAGAGACACACATCAGTGTGAGACACATCAACTAGTTGCCTCCTGCACAACCCCAACCAGGGCCTCCGACCAAACCCCAACCGCGGTACGTGCCCTTGACCGGAATCAAACTTGTGACTCTTTGGTTGGTAGTCTGACACTCTAACCCCTGAGCCAAACTGGCCAGAGCTAAAAAAAACATATTTAAAACAAATAGAATATAATCAATAAAGATGACTTCTAGGTCAACACAAAAGTTTTTTCTGTCGTTTTTAAATTTATTTTTCAATTACAATTTACTTTCAATATTATTTTGTATTGGTTTCAGGTATGCAACATATTGATTAGACAATCATTTACTTTGCACAATGTTCCCCTCGATATCTGCAGGACCCACCTGGCACCGTACATAGTTATCACAATATTATTTACCTATTCTCAGTGGTTTACTTCCCACCCCCTCGATTACTTTGGAACTACCAATTTGAACTTAATCCCTTCACCTCTTCTCAGAGTCCCCTAACCGCCCTCCCCTCAAAACTTTTCTTTTGTGAATAAGTAGAATTAGAGGTAAGATACTGATGGTAAACTAAGGCGTCTGCTTTAACTCCCCGGAGTTCCCAAATTATACTGTCTCCTTCTGAAAATATTCTGCCAAGTGTCTGGGTTCAGACACCCAGGGTCATGGGGAGACATGCGTGTTAGGAGTTAGATGGCACCAGTGACATGTGGCCCTGTGCGCTGGGATCTGTCGCCAGGAGCGTGTGACTCTTCCTGACACGTGGGAAAGAACATCTCGCCTGACGCTGTGTAAGGTTTGCTTCCTCGCTTCTGGTCTTGCGCCCTTGACATTGATTTCCGCTTCTTTGTTACAGAAATGAAGAAGAAAAACTCAACCAAGAAAAAAAGGTTGCTGTTTATTTAGAAGACACAGACTAACATTCTTAGATGGTGAGGTTCACAATTGGGTTACTGTTTTGCCTTCGCTTGCCTGTCTGGCTCCTCTCTCACGCGGGTCTCTCAGACTGCATGATGGATCGGTGTTTCCTCTGTGCTAGGGGAGGAGCTGGGTCTGTTCATGTTACGGATGGCTTCCCCCTTGCGTGCGAAATGCGCAAAGTACTCGGCAGCTAGACCGTTAAAGCTGAGAGAATCCTAGGGTTGTTTGAGGCTTTGCAGCTATATATTTCACCTAGAATAAGAAATTAAGTTTCGACATGCAAATAATGTATTATTTATTGATTGATTTTAGGGAGGGGGGGAGAGAGAGAGAGAGACATCAATTTGTTGTTCCACTTATTTATGCATTCATTGGTTGATTCATTTTTGTTTTTTTCTTTAATTCTCACCCAAAGACATTTTTGCATTTATCTTCAGATAGAGCGGGAGGGAGAGAGGGAGGAAGAGAAAGAGAGAAACATCAATGTGAGAGAGACACATCAACTGGTTGTCACCCACATGGGCCGGGGATAAACTGCAACCGTGGTACATGCCCTTAGTGGGACCCGAACGTGGGTTTCTCTGGTCCGCGGGCTGACGCTCTAACTGCTGAGCCAAACCGGCCAGGGCCATTGGTTGATTCTCGTATGTGTTCTGACCAGGGATGGAGCCTTGGCGTATCGGGATGATGCTCTAACCAACTGAGCTACCTGACCAGGGCCTACTAAATATTAAAAAAAAAAAAAAAGAATTAATATCTGCTTGTTTTGTTTTATTATAAATCAATTATGGCATTAAGAGAGTGACAACAGATATGCCTGACATTTTGACAGAACTACTGAACTATTTAAAATGAATTTCAGCCTGGCCGGTGTGGCTCAGTGGTTGAGTGTTGACCCATGCACCAAGAGGTCGCTGGTTCGATTCCTGGTTAGGACACACGCCCAGGTTGTGGGCCCGATCCCCAGTGGGAGGCATGCAGGAGGCGGCCAGTTGATGTTCTCTCTCACCGATGTTTCTATCTCTCCCTCTCTCTCTAAAGTCAATAAAGAACAAAATAAAATGAGTTTCGATTCTTCTCATTTAGTTGTTGAGACCATGCATTAATTTTAGTAGCGTACGATTTCGTTTTTCCAGTTTTCAGGTTTACCAGGCTCAGAATTTCTTCTATTCTCTGAACTAGGTCCACTATTATTATTTGCAGAGTCACATTCTTATAGCCTAAAACTCCAGTGAAAGACCTTAAGGGTTTATGAAATAGACTATGGAGAGAAACGATTCTATTGTAAACCCAGAGAGATAAATTTGGTAGCAGAGAGATTTTACAAAGGGCTATTTCTTTTTGAAATCTAGTGGATTCTCCAACATGTAGGTCATGGAAAAAAAGATGGGGGGGGGGGGCTCCTTTCCATTCACAGAAATTCAATGAACTCACACAATTGAGTGCAATGTGTGATCCTTGACTGGACGGATACTAGTTTGAACTAACTAGTTGTAAAAAGATTTGGGGGGGGCGGGGATTGGGAAAGTCTTGGATATGAAAAGTTTAAACATGAATACTATTAGGAAATTATTATTTATTTTTATTGGGTATAATAAAGGTACAGTGATACCTCGGTTCTCGAACATAATTCGTTCCAGGAGGACGGTCGAGAACCAAATTGTTCGAGAACCGAAGCAATGAAACCCAATAGGAAATAATGGAAACTGGATTAATTCGTTCCAAGCCCCAGAAAATGCCTATTTACTGGCCTAATTTGTATATAATATGTAGAAAAACATAAGTCTCAACAAGAAATAAAAGTGTACAGTATGTCTAAGGGTTAAATTCAGTGTAAAGCGTGACTCTCTCCACAAAGCGTGACTCTCTCTCTGCACTCACACTGATGACGCGAGCAAGGCGCGCTGGGCCGAATGAACGCCATTCGGCTCAACTCGGCTCATCTCGGAAGTTCGAGTTCCAAATATTTGTTCGGATTCCGAGACAAAAGTTTCTCTAATCTCCTGGTCGAATACCGATTTGGTCGAAATCCGAGGCGTTCGAGAACCGAGGTATCACTGTATTGTGGTTATATAGGAAGATGTTCCTATTTTTAAAATGCATATTGGAGTATTTAGGAATAAAATGTCAGTAATTTGTCAGCCAAAAAAAAAAAAAAAAAAAAAAAGAAGGCAGAATGCTTTAAAATGAGGTGATGGGTGAAGTCCTTTCTGTATGTTTGATTTTGCTTAAAATACAAGGAAGGCGGAGAAAGGGAAGAAATGTCCGTGTGAGCGAGCCATGGACCATCCACGTGTTCACAGGAGGCAGAGGCTATGAGTTAAAGACACTGACTCTGAGAATACGGATCAGGAAACTCTTTTAAAACTTAAGATAGGGGGAGAATAAATACATTTAAGAGTATTTCCATTCATAACGGAGAACAGATCTAAACAATATGTATGTACAGGAAACCTCGATGGAACAGACAAATTCGGGCAAAGGGGTATCTGTTAAAGCCGAAAGTCCATTATATAATAAAGTAGGTTTTCCGAATGCATATGTTAAAAAATTGGCAAATTAGTTAGTTTACCCGTTTTTACTTATGTAGACATGTTTGTGTGATTAAAATTACGTATGTATGAAAAATTTAATTTCACAGAAAAATGTTCTATATGTATTACTGTAATTTTAAATTTATACTGTCTGGCTGGTGTGGCTCAGTGGTTGAGCGTCGACCCCTGTACCAAAAGGTTGCCGGTTCGATTCTTGGTCGGGGCACATGCCCAGGTTGTGGGCCTAATCCCCTGTAGGGGGCATGCAGGAGGCGGCCAGTCGATGTTCTCTCTCATCGATGTTTCTGTCTCTCGCTCCTTCTCACTTCTTCTCTCTCCAAACTCAATAAAGGAAAAGAATTTACACTGAATAGGTCTAGTAAATGCACTCACCCATCGCCATAAGCAAACAGGTGCACGCGGCTGGGGCGTGGCTTAGCGGGCGTGGGAACATGGGCCAGCACACGTTAACACCGCTGCAGAAAGTCACACAGAACCAATTACATCTCGCCAGGCAGTGTGATCGCGTGCTAATCATTCCTCGAACACTGTTTACGAGCAGTGACTCTTGGATTCAAATGTATAGACTACAGCTGTAGATACTTAATATTTATTTACCATCAATTCTCACCTGAGGATATTTTTTCCCAATTTTTAGGAAGAGTAGAAGGGAGGGAGGAGGGGACAGAGAGAGAGAGAAACACTGATGTGACCAGAGACACATTGATTGGTTGCTTCCTGCATGCACCGGGCCAGGCTGAGGATGAACCTGCAACCCAGGTACCTGCCCTTGACCAGAAATCGAACCTGTGACCATTTGGTGTACAGGCTGACACTCTAACCACTTGGCAACACTGGCCAGGGCTGTATATTTATTTATGTTGGTGAAACTACTACAGTGTCTTTTCTAACATATGGCCTATTGGCTAAATTTGTTAAAAATAACAGTACATTAATAGCAACAAACAAAAAAAATAACCTGTTAATTTCATCATAAGCCAATCTCAGTTAAACACATTTTAAAATGTACAGGGTGGCCCTGGCCGGTTTGGCTCAGCGGTTAGAGCGTCGGCCTGCGGTCCAGAGTGACTCGGGTTCGGTTCCCGCTAAGGGCATGTACCTCGGTTGCAGTTTGTCCCCGACGCTGGTTGGTCATGCGGGTGGCAGCCACTCGATGTGTTCCTTTCACGTCGATGTTTCTCTCTCTGTCTCTGTCTCTCTCTCCCTCTCACTCTATCTGAACAAAAAATGGAAAAATGTCCTTGGGTGAGGATAAAAAAAAATAATAATAAAAAATAAAATGTACAGGGTGTTAATTTTCACGTATGGCAGAAGGGCCAGAAATTTCGTGTTCGATAGAGGGCCGCAAACCAAGGGTCTACTGTAATCCCTAAGGCCAGGGACGCCTATCGCACACTTCCCAAGCGCGTTATCCATTTAAACTTTTGTATTTCAGGAAGCGGGAGAGTTCTAAGAACAAGAACCCTAGGATAAGTTGGAGTTAACGGAAGCATTTCTTTGGCTCTTTTCGGCTGTGACCTGTCTTCCAACCAGCTCTGCGCTACATAACCACCTAGACGAGCAACGTTCTCCGGGGGCCAGCGTAGCGCCCTGAGAGACTGGCAGCCTCCCTCCCACAGCCCCTGGCGAGGATCTGCTTAATGTTAGAGTGCAAGCAATCTCATATTCGCTTTTGTATACTATGAAGCAACGTTCTGCCCTCAAATACTCCTTTGTGAATTATGATTTGTACACACATTATTGGCAGCAAATGGAATAAAAGCCAACATGTCTTTCATGACATCTCCTTGAACATATTAGTTTCTTGAGAGCAGTACTCTTGCTACTAAAGTTAACATGTGAAAAGGTGAGCTAATTCTCCCACCTGTTTTTGATGAACGGAAAACCCTGTATTGAAACTGTTAAAGAGCAGTCTGATTTTCATGGCTCTCCTTAAATCTGGGACATATTTTATTATATGTCTTTCAGTATCGAAGATGATAGTTTTTTGTTTTTTTTTGGTCAGTCGCTCTAAGGTTTACCATAGAGCAGTCTAAAATCACAGAGTAACTAAGAGAAGTTTACCTTAATGGTAATAGATTGACACATGCCACCCTAAGAATAAACTGCTTGTCACCTTTTTCCTGTATTGTGAAAAGTCAACAGTGCAGGCCTTTTATGAGCAGTGAATGACCGCTAAGCTTACGGGGCCCCCCGCCCCCATTTCAATTATTGTAACAACACAGCAAAGTCTATGCTCATTCATTTGTAGACTGGAATAATCAGCAGTTAGAAGAATTCTGAAACAGTATTTTATGACTGTAAAAATTTAGGACTGGTGAAAAAAAATCAACCCTAAATGGTGGTAACTTTGTACAGTGTTGTATGAAGCTGTGAGAAGTGGGAGGGATTATTTAATTGGTTTTCTTTCTTTTTTAAAAATGCTCTTGTTTTGGGGGAGAATTTGGTATGGGGCAAAGAAACACCAAAACTAACAAAATGAAACCGACTTTATTGAAAAGAAGAAAGCTTTTTAAAAAGTGGCTAGTTTCCTGATTTCTTTCCAGACTTAAGCTATAACAGCATTTTTTTCAAAAGACAGAAAACATCTAAAAGTTTAGGCCTCCCCCAAATCTTTACAACATGTTATTTTCGGTTTTCACTGATTGGTCTAAAGATGTTATTTCTTTTAACAAACTGAAATTTTCAAATAGGTTACCTATATTTAAAGATGTTGAACTTTGATATTTTTTTTACAATAGTTTTTAAAAAATTGGTATAATTTACACACAAACCTTGATTCTTAAATACATTCCATACCTCTCATTTTACCTATGACACTGTCTAAAAAAGTAAAGTTTCAATACCCAGTTTTGAAACTAAAAATCAGATGTAAAGTCTATTACTTTTAATTCATATTTTCTATTTGTCTCCATAATTCACCCTTTTAACGTATAACAACTGGATGTCTCTTCACACAGATGGCTTGGATGATGTTCCACAAGTGTAACGAAAAAGGAGTTAAAAACTTATGAAATGTCTTTCCAGAAAAACCTGTAGTGGTGTCCTGACTAAATACCCGAGGGGTAATATGGCCCTGTTGTTCAGTGTCTTCCTAAACAGAACTTCTGTACTGTAATTTATAATTTTATTGTGCCTTAAACATTTATGTAAATAAACTTTAGCAATAAAGATGTATCGGTGATGTGATTTGCTTTATATACAAATCTAAAGGTTAAAGAGCAGGGAAGAGAAAACAGACGAGTATGTATTTTATCTTCACTGAAAATTGTTCTTACCGGCAGCCTGGAAGTTAACAATGGGCAGAGAATTCATTTCTACTGGATAAATAAACGTCTATGGCGTTTCACAGCCTTTTCCCATTGCTCTGGGTAATTCAGAATCCAGCACAACTACCTCGTTTGGGGATTCTTTCAAGGGAACAGTATCATTCCATTCAGTGCTCGTGTGTTACCTTCACGGTGAAAACGACCAGCTCTCAAGTCTAGTAAAGAAACGAGAGCGGAAAACGTAGTTGCTGAACTGTCCCAGAAGCTGAAACAGCGCTGTTTCCCTCTTGCTTTTTGAACTATTCTGATTCCAGGTTTACCAGGGACGCGGGCAGGGTACCCCGCCACTTCCTTTTCAGAGAAGAACAGGACACCATCTGCTCGTTTAATTTCACGCACTGTGAAAACATTACCTTCTCGCTTTCCCAAGAAAGGGGTACACAAGAGAGCCACCCCCTTGGACCCGTAGGACACGCTGGGACGATGTCATCATCGCCGCTGTCAACAGCAATGGAATGAACCCCCAATTCTGGGGTGCCCCCGGGACAAAGGGCACGAGGCACACATTCACCACGAAGCACGACCCACATGTATTTATCCACGGATTGACCCTGTATGATCGCCCAGGGGCCTCTGAGCTCTACATGGATGGGAACTATTCCGGGGGAAATTCAAATGGACAAATCTGCAGGGAGCAAACGAGCCTTGGGAAGAGCCAGAGGCGGCAGGGCTATTTGGGCAGCAGGGTTCCCGAAAACGAGACGGTCAAGGTCCCGGAGGCCGCAGCCCAGCTCACTTCCAAGCCGAGGGGCGGACACCTGCTCCGGGGCAGACGCGCGGGCCGGGCAGCCCAGGTGCGCTTCTGGGAGAGACGCGTTCCCATGGCGACCCCCGGGCCGCGCTTCCGCCGCTCCCGCCGCTCCCGCGTTGCGCCACTTCCGGCGTCGCCGCGCCGCGCCCGGGGCCGCGCACAGGTGCAGACACCTGCGGGCCGGGATGCGGCCGGGCGGAGCGGCGCGCGGCGGCGGCGGCGGCGCTCGGCTTCCACTGCTGGGCGTCCTGCTCGTCCAGGGTGAGCGCGCGGGCTCGGCCCCACTTCCGGCCGGTGGGCCGCGTCGTGGTTCCGGTTCCGGGGGTCTCGGGAAAGCCCCGCGCTTCGGGGCCGGCGGGAAGGAGGGAGGGAGGGGAGCGCGGGTGCGCGTGCGCGTCCGCCCTTCGCCACCGCGCGGGCTCGGCGGGCTGTCCCGGGCCGTCCAGGGCCGCGGCCACCGGGGTCCGTGCGCCCCCTGCTCGCCACCCCCCGGGTTGTCCCGGGCCGTGGCCACCGGGGTCCGTGCGCCCCCTGCTCGCCACCCCCCGGGTTGTCCCGGGCCGCGGCCACCGGGGTCCGTGCGCCCCTGCTCGCCACCCCGCGGGCTGTCCGGGCCGTCCCGGGCCGTGGCCACCGGGGTCCGTGCGCCCCTGCTCGCCACCCCGCGGGCTGTCCGGGCCGTGGCCACCGGGGGGCCGTGCGCCCCTGCTCGTCACCCCGCGGGCTGTCCCGGGCCGTCCAAGGCCGCGGCCACCGGGGGGCCGTGCGCCCCTGCTCGTCACCCCGCGGGCTGTCCCGGGCCGTCCAGGGCCGCGGCCACCGGGGGGCCGTGCGCCCCTGCTCGTCACCCCGCGGGCTGTCCCGGGCCGTCCAGGGCCGCGGCCACCGGGGGGCCGTGCGCCCCTGCTCGCCACCCCGCGGGCTGTCCCTGGCCGTGGCCACCGGGGGCCCGTGCGCCCCCTGCTCGTCACCCCGCGGGCTGTCCCGGGCCGTCCAGGGCCGCGGCCACGGGGGGGGGGGGGGGGGAGGTGCGCTCCGGCGGAGGCGGGGACCTGGTTTCATTGTTGGTGGGCGATCGCCAGAGCCCGAGAGGGTACGTTTGTCGCTGCGGGAGAGACGCGCTGTGATTGGCGTTGACGACAGACACGCGCTTTTGTTGAGAAAAAGCAGCGGCCGAGCGTTGGGAGCCTGTGGGTGGGGGACACGGGGTGGGGGACCCGGGGGCGCGCTCGTGTGAGGGCCTGATGCGGGCGGCGCAGTGTTCACGCCGGGACCGGGGCTCCGGCCCTGCTGCCCTGCAGTCTCCAGACCGAAGTGTGGGTCCAGCCCCCGGACCTGGTCTTAGGGGCAGTGATGGTTGCCTTGTCCAGCTCCGCAGGTGTGTGTTCCCGGGAAGCCACACGAGAGCGGGGTTAGCACTGTGACCACCGTCAGCTCCCCCTGGGGAGTGGGGTTTCCAACAGAAAGAGGGGGGCGGCCTAAACCTCAGCAGCGGAGGTGGAGACGCTTGGATTTGTTGGATGAGTAATCCCTGCTGCCAGCGTAATCCCTGCCCCTCCCGGCTGCCTGGGCCATGACCATGTCCAGTCCTTCAGCTACTTACTTTGCAACAGAAGACTTAGGTTGACCGGTCACTCCAGGTGATCCCAGCCCACCACCCCGACTCCGCAGCCAGGTTCAGATAGTGTCCCCCTGGGAACAAAATGTGGAAATGCGGGTGGTTTCTTACACTCGAGGGCCTGCCGCATCTCGTGTGCAGACCAAACCATTCGAAGGCGGAGGGCTGACTTTATGGTCTGTGTACCTGTTGAACTGATTTGTCTTTTGCCTTTTAAAAAAAATAAATATTTTTGAGATGTAATTCACATGTCATACAATTTATTCATTTAAAGTGTACAGTTTGGCCTGGCTGGTGTGGCTCAATGATTAGGTGTGGACCCATAAACTAAGAGGTCGCTGGTTCGAGTCTCGGTCAGGGCACATGCCCAGGTTGTGGGTCCGATCTCTTGTGGGGGGGCATGCAGGAGGTGGCCAATCCATGTTTCTATCTCCCTCTTCATTTAAGATCAATAAAGAAAAAATTATTCTAGAAAAGTGTACAATTTGGTGGTTTTAGTATACTAACAGAGTTATGCAATCATTACCACAATCGATTTGGGATCATTTTCATCACCCCAAAGAGGAGCTCTATACCCATTAACAGTTACCCCCCATTCCTCTCTTCCCCTAGCTGCTGGCATATACCAGTCTACTTTCTATTGCTATGGATTTGCCTATTCTTGGACACTTCATATAAATGAAGTCTTAAAATATGTGGGTTTCGTTTTGTGGATATGATAGCTTCTTTCAATTAGCATGTTTTCAAGGTTCAGCCTCCTTTTTAAAAAATCTTTTAAATCTGTTAGGCAGTACCTTTGTTTCATACCAGTGTTTATTTGTCTTGACTCTTCACCGATAGGACCCATTAAATTATTAGCTTGTTTGAATTCTCCCTAAGTTCTAAACGTCCTGCTACGTCAGTTTAAGTACTAGAAACAGCAGATTAGGCTCCCAAGGTTCTTACACTTTCCTCTTTTTCATTTAAGTGGGCACTTTTATGAATCAAAGGCTGACAGATTTATATTTTGGAAACTGGGTGTACAAAATTGAGGGTTTTGTAATTAAAACAAAATTCTTCCATGTCTAAAATTAGTTATGTTTAAATGTGATTTTCCTCCCAGATTAAAAATTAAACATTTTAAAACAATTTGTTGATTTTAGAAAGAGAGGAAGGGTGTGAGAGAGAGAGAAACATTGATTTATGCATTTATTGGTTGATTTTTGTATGTTCCCTGACCAGGGATCAAACCTGCAACTTTGGTGTATCGGGATAATGCTCTAACCAACTGAGCTACCTGGCTAGGGCTAAAAATTTTGTTAATCATCATGAGTATTTCTATATTAGCTGGTTTTACTTGGCATGACTAATTAAAAGAATTTTTTTTTTCTTTATTGATTTTTAGAGAGAGAGGGAGAGAGAGATAGAAACATCAGTGAGAGAGAACATCGGTTGGCAGCCTCCTGCATGTCCCCCACTGGGGATTTGTCCCACAACCTGGGCATGTACCCTGACCAGGAGTGAACCAGCGACCTCTTGGTGCATGGGTGGGCACTCCACCATTGAGCCACACCAGCAGGGTGGCAAGACTGATTATTTTACTCAGGTGAAAAGATAATTATTCATAAGCACATTAGGCCTAGGATAGAAATTTCTGAATGACTGTAACATGGATTAATATTTTTTTCTAAATTTTTGAGTGAAGGAGACAAATTATTTTATATCCATTGATTTTAAAACTTTCAATTTTAGTATAATACATATAGAGAAATGTGCACATATTCATAAGGCTATACGTATAGCTCAGGGAATTACCAGGAACTGAACACACCTCGGTAACCGTCAGAACTAGGGTATAGAACATTACTCCAGAAACTTTCCCTGTGCTCCCAGTCCCGACCTCTTCACCCCAAAGGAGAACCAGTACCCTGATGTATAGATAGTAATGTAGACGAGTCCGTTCATTCATGGATCTTACTTGTCTGTAACTATACAGTTATGACCCAAACTAGTGTTTAGATTTCAGTGACTTTACGTACTGATAATTTTATGGCAAATCATGTTCATGAACATGGAGTTCAAACACATCAACAAGGAAGATCTTGATAGGTAGGTAGGTAGCTCTATTGATGGTGTACTTACTATAGTTGCGTAACCAAGTTTGCTCAGAATATGTAATTTTTATGTTTGTTTTGTAATCATTTATGTTTTATAAAAGGGAACTGTGTCGGTTTGGTTCATTTGAATAAATATTACTGAGCACGCACAATGTGCTGGGTTCTGTTTTGATGAGCTCAGGGTCTACTTTGAAAGACGAGACAACAGATTTGAGAATTTGGTACTAAGAGAAATATACAGAAGAGGTGCCCTTAATCTATCACGAGGATACAAGGAAGACTTTCTGGAGGTGTCATCAAAATTAAATCTGGCCCTGGGCGGTTTGGCTCAGCAGTTAGAGCGTTGGCCTGTGGTCCCGAGAGACCTGGGTTCGGTTCCCGCTAAGGGCACGTACCTCGGTTGCAGTTTGTCCCCGGCCCTGGTTGGGTTGTGCGGGCGGCAGCCACTCGATGTGTCTCTTTCACGTTGATGTTTCTCTCTTTTTCTCTCTTCCTCTCTCCCTCCCACTCTATCTGAACAACAACAACAACAACAACAACAAAAGGAAAAATGTCCCCGATTGAGGATGAAAAAAAAAAAAGAAATCTGGCCTGGTCAGTGTGGCTCAGCTGTCCCATGGAGGTCGCCAGTTCTGTTTCAGGGCAGGGCTCCATCTTTAGTAAGAGGCATGCGGGAGGCAGCCAATCCGTGTTTTTCTCATCATGGATGTTTCTCTCTCTCTCAAATCAATTTTAAAAAATTACATGTATTTAAAAAAAAATTTTTTTTTGACAGAGAGAGAGGGAAACATCGATTTGCTGTTCCACTTATTTATGAACTCATTGGTTGCTTCTTGTATGTGCCCTGACTGGGGATTGAACCCACAATCCTGGCACATCAGGACCACGCTCTAACCAACTGAGCTACCTGGCCCGAGCAAAATCAAATCTTAAAAGAATGAAAGTTACTTAGAGATAGGAACTGAGGAAACTTCCAGACATACAGAGGAACATGACAAGACATGGAGGCATTCACTAACCCTCCAAGCAGATTTTCTGGAACTTACTTTGATTGGCTTAGCTGAAAGCAGATACGGTGACCTTTAAACACGTCTCTGGTCGGGAGGATGGTGTGCAGGAGGCGGCTCGGGTTGGCCCTCAAGAGCCCATTCTGCACAGCTCTTCCTCACTCAGCCTTTGGAGACTTTGCCTTCGATTCTTGCACTTAGCTGTCTGCCAGCACGTCCCTGGGTGTGATGAGTGGTGTGGTCCCATCCGGTCCCTCCCCACCTCTAGTTTGTTCCCTCCCCAGACCCATCCCCTTCCCTTCTCTGTTCCTGTCTGCTCCCTGCAAAGCCGGCCCTTGGACTCTATCACCAGGCCCTTGTCCGTTAGGTTTGGTCAGTCGGAGGCACTGGCAGGAAATGCGAGGGCAAGAGGTGAAAGACATCGGGGTGTTTCTCCCCTGCTCCCTCCTTGTCTTAGTGCCATGGTCTCCGTGTCCCTCAGTGACTGTCCGGTGGCCATAGCTCCATCTCTTACCAGACTCTGGTGACACCATTTTCTCC